GCCCTTCACCGGAGTCTGGATGGGCGACAGCAAGTTGTGTGCCATCGGTGAGCGGGGACACGGGGCAGGGAGCGGGTGTGCCCGTGTGCACCTCTGCTCCGCAGACAAGCTGAGAGATGGGGGGGTTCAGCCTGGAGAAGAGAAGGTTCCGGGGATAGCTTAGAGCTCCTTCCAGTGCCTGAAGGGGCTTCGAGAGAGCAGGAGAGGGACTTTGGACAAAAGCCTGGAGTGACAGGACAAGGGAGAATGGCTTCTCACTGCCAGAGGGCAGGGTTAGATGGGATATTGGGAAGAAATACCTTCTGTGCCCAGTTCTGGGATATTGGGAGTAAAAATCTGTGTCCAGTTCTGGGCTCCTCAGTACAAGAAAGACAAGCAACTGGAGAGGGTGCAGTGGAAGCCAAGAAGATGACTGAAGGACTGGAACACCTCTCTTACAAAGAGACTCTGGGATCTGGGCCTGGTTAGTTTGGAGAAGACAAGACTGAGAGGGGATCTCATCAGTCCATACAAATACCTCCAAGGGGTGTCAGAGGATGGTGCTAGGCGCTGTTCAGTGGTGCCCAGTGACAGGACGAGGGGCAGTGACCATAAACTGAAACACAGCACCTCAGCATGAGGAAAACCTTCTTTCCATGGAGGGTGGCAGAACACTGGAACAGGTGCCCAGGGAAGGCGTCCCCACCTCGCACCCTGCACTTATTAGGCCCTTACACCCATGGCTGGGTGCCTGCAGCCTGGTCCCCAGCCCTGCCCCCTTCCCCGTCCCCCTCCACAGCCCCACATCCTGCACTCCTTCCTGCAGCCCAGCACCCCCAGCTGGGCTCTGCCACCTGGGTTTGGGGTCCTGCAGGCCAGACCCCCCCTTTGCAGCACAGCCCTGTGTCCAAGCCCATGGAAACTCCAGCAATGGGAGGTGCTGGGGGATGCACCCCATCTGTTCCAAAACTGGGGAGCCTTCCTCTAGGTTAGGGTTTTTCCCTGGCAGAATTGGGGAGCACAAAATGCAGAGGGGAGGATATTTATAGTGACCTGGGCAGTGTAGTCACTAAATATCTCACACTGGGATGTCCCTGGTGATGGGTGCTGATGGGTGGGTGCTTTTGGCCCCTGCAGGTGTGCACTGTGGCAACCACATCACCTCGCATGGGCTGGCACTGAACTGCTGCACTGACCTCACCTGGTTTGACCACATCGTCCCCTGCGGGCTGGAGGGGAAAGGTGTCACCTCGCTGAGCCACGAGTTGGGGCGGCACATCACCGTCGACCATGTCCTGGAGCCCTTCCTCGACTCCTTCCAGGAGGTGTTTGACTGCACCTTGGACTTTTCAGGGGATTAGGACTGTCGTGGTGCCTTGGCCTGGTGTTTTGGCAAAGCCACGGCATGGCTGATGGACATCGTGGCAGCCACCTGGGGCTTTGTTGTGAGACAAGAGCTCTTGTGCCTTTTCCTGTAGACTCTGCCTGGGTGGTGGCACAGAGGTTTAGGCTGCTGCTTAAACATCCAAACCTCCCCTGGGGCTGTTCTCCCCAGGCCCCTGGGACTCCATCCTTCCGCTGAGACCATCCCTGTGTCACTTGCTGGGGAAATACCCAAATAGGTGCTTTTGTGGGTTTTTTTCTGCTGCTCTCCCTGCAAAAATCCAAAATTTGGGTGAACACTCATGCACCAGCTGGACCAGAGGAACAGGAACTGGTGGGTCGAGCATCCCTCCCTTGCTGATGGGTAAAAAGAGGCAGATTTTATATAAAGAGAGTTGCTGGGAACTTTTGCTGCCAATCGTTTTCTAGTTTATTTACCTCGAGACTTTATGAATAATGACCTTTTTCTCACCTTGAACACAGAGAAATTCTCACCCTGGGGTCAGGGAGAGTGGAAAATGGCCATAAATGGTGGTTAAAAGGCCACTGGAGTGATGTGAATGTAGTGGGAAAAGCAGGAGGAGGAGGGAAAGGGGTCGAGGTGCCTGAGGAGAGGAACTATGGCTGTCATGGACCCTGTGGGACCATGCAGGATCCCAGCTGGGTGATGGGGACCTGCTCCCCCTGGGTCTGTGCTGGAGGAGATGTTGTTGGGGTCCATGTTGGCACTTCTGACATTGCTGTCCCAGCCACAGCATCATAAACTGATTTTAATCGACAGGGATAAGAAAGCCCCCTGAGACTAAAGTCCCCACATCCTGCTCCAACAAGACCTGACCCCCACCCACAGCCCCTCACCACTGCTGTGGGCCTTCTTTCTTCCTCACAAGCCTTGGGGTTTCTCTGCATCTGCCCTCAGGGTTTTGGGTGGACCAAGGGTGCAGCTGGGAGCAATGGGGCTGGAAAAAGAGGAAAATCCCATTTCATGGAGCAGGCTCAGCTCTGGGAGGGAATGGCGAGCAGGGAAGAACGTGCCCAGGCAGGCTTGGTGCCAGTGTCAGGGCTCAGGGACAGACGGATGAGGAGGGACAGGAAAACGTGACCGGCAGCGTGTGCCAGAGGGGAAATGCAGAATCCAGCTCTCCCGGCCCCATAAGGCCCCCAGTATCTGGCTGGGACGTGGAAGGACCCTTGGGGTTGGGGACAGGCTGGTGGCCCGTGGCGGGGCTGGGTGGCTGTGGCAGGTGGCTCTGCCCGGGAAGGGGAGGAGACTGGCGGCACTCCCAGCCCGGCCGCATCCCTTCCCACCGCCCGCGATGCTCAGTCTGGCTCAGCCTGGCAGCAGCGCAGGCAGGGAGGGCACCCCGGGTGAGTGCGATCTTCCCTTCCCACTTCCTGGCCCCCGTTCCCCTTCCTGGCCCCACACCTTCCCTAAGGTGGGTCCCCCCATGCTGCATCCCATCTGCAGGTATCCTACTGCAGGTCTTGCCCTAAATCTTTCAAGTTCAGCCTCCTCCTGCTTCAAACTTTTCTCTAAGTCAGGAAGGCAGCCGGATCTGAGCCCGTCGTGGTTGCTCAGCCCCTTCCTCCTCCTCTTCGCTACTGGGGTCTCATCCTGAGAGGTGCACGCTGAGTTTGGGGTGACCTTTTTGGGGGGGATCAGCTGCCTGTGCATGGGGTAGAGCTGCTGGTGCTTGGGAGCAGGAGGGAAAAGGGTGGATACCTGGGGGGGCGACAGTGTTTTGTAGGGCCAGCATGTCCCAAAGGACAGCACACGTGGGGGACTGTGTTCTGGTGTCCCTTCCTGGCCCAGGCAAGGGAAGGTGCACAAGGGCACAGAGGGGGCATATGGAGGTCCAGGGGGTGCTGGCAGAGGGACACAATGTCCAAAAGGGAGGCGGGTCAGAGGGGGTCTGGGACCCCTAGGAAGGGAGGTTTAGGGCAGCGACCCCTCGATATGTGTCTACAGGGGTGTGTGGGGAGCTGTGCCAGCTCTGCACCCTGTAAGGGTACAGGATGTGTGCCTTCCATCCCCACACATTCCCAGGGAAAGCAGACTTTGAACCCAACTGTCCTGGCCACCTGAGTCAGCTTTGTCCCATTGTCCTCACAGGACACACGAGAGGGGGTCAGGGAGCTGCCTTAGAGCCCCGGGAGCTTTATTCCCTCTGAAGAAGGAGTGAAATTTAAAGAGGGGCTGCCAGGAATGCAAAGGGTTTTTGTTGCACAGGAGGTGCTTCAGGGATCATTTTTGGGGTCATTGTCTCATCCAGCAGGACATCCTGGGAGCTGCCCCACCACGAGGGCAGCCTGTTATGAGTCTCCCTGTCCTTTCCTGCAGCCTAGAGAAGGACATGGAAGAGAACAACCAGACGGAGACCTGGCACCAAAGCCTGCAGGCTATGCTTAACTCCTTAAACCAGACACTGCACGGGGTCATCCTCTGCCCCGCTGACCATTCTGCCACCACTGCTGCTGCTACACAGAACACCCACCTCAGCCATCCCGGCCGGAACGACAACGCCTACATGTACATCCTCTTCGTCATGACGCTCTTCGCTGTCACGGTGGGCAGCCTCATCCTGGGCTACACCCGCTCCCGGAAGGTGGACAAGCGCAGTGACCCATACCATGTCTACATCAAGAACAGGGTCTCCATGATCTGAGCCTGGCCCTAACGCCTTGTCCCCACAGAGCCAGTGGGTTTGGGGTCAGGTTGCTCTACACATCCCACTGTCTGTGGGATGTGGCAGTGTTGCCAGCCCCAAATCTCCTGGGAACCCCCACTGTGGAGATGCTCAGCCCTGGTGTGAGCAGCACCAGGATATCTTCACCAGGATACAGCTACTGGCTGGCAGGAGCTGGCAGAATGCAAGCCACAGGCATGTCCTGGTCCTGCAGACCCACCTTGACTGAGCCCCATGGGGACAGGGATGGTAAAGGCAGCTCCTTTCCCACCTGCTGAGGCTGGCAGGGATCTTCCAGGAGAAAAATTTCCCATTTTCTGATGCCTACTGGATCAACCAGCATTGACCTCCATGGGCTCCTAGCAGCTGTGTGACACGGGCTTTTCTGGTGCTGCAACCCTGTAATTTTTGAGCTGGTCTAGGCCCTGTTTTTCTGGCAGGGAATTAAAGGAGGTGGCGGGTTCCAGGGTGGTTGTGTTTGCTTCTTCTCTGAGTAGAGTCACTGCTGGGGGCAGTCCATGGGGCACCGCTCCGTGCCAGGGCCTGGGGGATGCTGGAATGGCTAAGCTTGCTGCCTGTGTGCTACCAAGGTGGATTCAAGGGCAATCCCTGGGTGCATCACAGCCCCTATGATGGGAAAGTTCCTTCAGGATAGAGCAAGCCCTACTACCCAAGGAGCTGCTTTGTCTCTGCTGCTGTCTGGAGAGTGTTGCTGGAGCCGTGGGCACACTGTGAGCATGGCCCGAGCCTGGCTGGAGTCGTGTGGCTCCATGCATCTCCAAAGGTCTCTCTGAGCTCCGGACAGTGATGCTGGAGTTTTTCCTGCTTCCTTCCTGCTGTCAGCTGTAGCTTTGGCCTTTTGTACTGCAGGTCCCAAATGTGTTTTCCACAGGGTCAGGGCGCAGTGATGGACGGGAAAGGGATGTTCTTGGGTCCTGCTTGGCTCCTTGGCTTTGACTCTGCTATTAAGCTGGCTGGGTTTGGCTCTGGCCTGTGGAGTGGCCGGTGTCCAGGACAGTGAATGTCCCTGTCCTTCAAAACAGGCTGTGGGGCAGCACTGGTGACCCAGTCTCCCACAGGTCTTAACCTGTTCGTAATGGCGTAATGAATGTCTTTAATTGCAGCTAGATTAGCTGGCCCACAGGGGCCTTTCTGCCGGCATTCCAAGGTTAAACACGGCTGCAATCCTGAGCCCAAACAGTGGCGCCAAACCCTAAACCGAAAAATGATAGATGTGAGCATGTTTGGGGAAGGGCTGGAAACCTTGGCACCAGAGGCACTGATATGGCAGCAGCTCAGTGACTAATTCCTGATTTTCCATGCCCTCTGCTTGGGCACAAAACCTGAAGCAGGGGTTTTGAGGAGCTCGCTTTGGGGCTGATCCCGCTGGGATTCCTGAGCCAGCAGAGCTTTCTGGGGTCCAGGTGCAACCACTGTCCTCCGGCACCTGGCCCAAGCAGGAAGTAGCTGGAGAAGCTTTATTGTGTTTGTCTTTCAGTTGTAGTGCTGGGAAAGGAAAATAAACCTATCTGCAAATAAATCAGGGGAACTGGGCCAGGTGGGGACAGAGACACACAATCCACTCTTGGGTTTCTTCCACCTCTGTGATGTTTGTCCTTCTCCGATGAGAAAAGCCATGGAGCAGCCTCGTATGCCAGGGGCAAGATGTGGGGCCCTGGGATGGGATGGGTGCTGGATGGTGATTGTGGCACCCCAAATCCCCCCTGGTGATCTGGTCTTTTTGCTTTTCCCACTTCTGGGAGAGAGGAATGAATCTAGTGAGCCTGGAGTCTCTTCTTCTGCTATGATCTAAGGGGAAAAACCCTGAGAAAGGGTGGCATATCATAAGAATGCTTTTCCCTAATCCAGCAGACTCTAAATGGGAAAATCCCTCCTGCAAGACACAGCTTCTGCAGTGATCATTATCCACCTGATTTCTGATCCATCGGCAGCTCCTCCTGTCCATCCCTGCAGTTAAATTTGGACCAGAGCCTGTGGCAGGGGTTCTCCCACCCTGGAGCTGCTGGCTGGATGCCACCAAGCTGGGTGACAAGAGGCCAGTGCCACCTTGTGGCAACTGCCTCAGGGTCCCAGTGCCACATGCTCCTCTTTCCCAGGATACTCGGGCATCCCCTGGAGCAAGAGCAGATGAACTTCTCTCCACGGGACCTTTGGCTCCTGTTTGCCTGCCCTTGTCCCCATGGGGAATCCACATCTCTGGCACAGGGGAGTCACAAGCAACAACAGATCCTTCCCCACCAAGAGGGCAGTGTGGAGACACCTGCAGATGCCACCACTTTGCCCCAGCCCACAAGCAAACCAAACCCACCACCTGGATTAGGAGAGGAATCACTGCAGGGGGCAGGTTTGCCTGAAGCCTCCCCCCAAAATGTCTTTGCATCTTATATAGTTCCAGAAGGGGAAAGCCAGAGGTGCGACCGTGTTCCTGCGCTCCAAGGTGATGTCTTGTGCCCAAGGGTTTTGCTGTAAAACCACACAGCACAGCTCCCTGCCACATGGTAACCCAGCCTCCAGATTAGGCACTACGTGAAGTTCCTAGTTATACTTGCAGAAGGATACCCACCATACCCTTCACAAGTTTTCTGTAAGAAAGGGAGAGGGCTATGTTACAGGAAAATATCAGAGGCTGAGGGAGCTGGGGTTGTTTAGCCTGGGGAAGAGAAGGTTCAGGGGAGACCTCATCACTCTCTACAACTCCCTGAAAGGAGGTTG